TTTTTAGATCAAGCAGCCTAGCTACAGGGGTGGCCACTGGGGTTGGGAAGGAAGGCCACGGAGGAGTGAGCCAGGTGATGCCGAAAGAGCCCTGCCTTTGGGGTCCGGAAGACAGGTGGTCATCTTTTTGCTACCAGCTCCTTGCTGTGGGTCCTGGGAGCCATGGGTCCTTCCGGGGCCTCTTTGATCTCTTGTGGCTAATGAGAGGACCTCCAAGAGACACCTGCTCCTCCATGCTCAGAGAAGCACTGTGTACTACAACCAGGAAGTGACCCAGGGTCCACTGATGGGTGATAGACAACAAAATACAGGGACCATGCACAACAGCATGCCCGTGAGCCTTCAGAAGGAAGTTCTGATGTCAAAGATGAACATTGAAGACAGGGTGCTGAGTGAAACACACCAGACTGGCCTGGGGCAGAGACAAACACTATAAGCTCCAGTTCCCTGTGTAACAAGTTGTGAAGGTCAGAAAGTAGGCGAGTGACTCCCAAAAACTAATGAGTGGTAATGGGGAACTGTTGCTTGAGGGTGTGAATCTTTTGTTTCCCAGTTTGGGAAGAGTTCTGGAGATGGGCTGACCGTATTGAACTGCATGCTTCCCGTGGTTAAAACAGTATATCCTATGCTTATATGTTTTATGAGCTTTTTGAAGACCTGTGTCCCAGGAGAGCTGTGAGGACTCCCTGAGCTAATACAGAGGGGGGGGGCTCTCTACAAGACATCTGGACACACAGCTTCTCAGCAGATCACAACCTGGCCCAAGCCACTGGACACACAAGTCTGAACATTTTCCATGAGACATCTGATGGCCCCCTGCTAAACTGCTTCAGATTCATAAGCGACACTCTCCACAGAGTACAGTGAGGGAGGTACTGTCTGCACCAGCAAAGCTTCATGATGGTGGAAAGAAATGGGTGACGGCTAGAGGAGCTCCTACATTCCTGAGGAGGCACCTCCCCAGGTGTCCAAGCCTCTTACATCTGTACTAAGGATGCTCTGTGGCCAGCAGGTTCCATACTTTTTAAGATTTACCTCTTTTTCCTCCCCATTTCACAGCCCAGGTATCATCATCATCACTATCACCATCACCATTGCTACCATTCCCATCTCCATAATTACCATCATGGCGATTGCCGTCATCATCACCATTGCCATCACTATCATCACCACCACCACCATAATCACTGTCATAGCCATCACCATCATCGTCATCACTGTTGCCATCATCATTGCCAACACCACCACTACAGTCATGACTACCATCACTAACATGAGAAGCGTGGAGGAGACAGAGAGGAAGCAGCATCCTAGAACATAGATTCTCTTTCTAAAGGAAGAGGATGGATATGCAGAATTGATGATCAGGGGCAGGATCAGACCTGGAAACCCTCAGCACATCAGACTATGGATTTCAACCTTTATCCGTGCCATGGGCATTCCAGAGGAATTTTTAGCAGGAGAGTAGCCATCAGATTTGAATTCAGGCTAAACACTGACCAGTGGACACAGAGAGGGAAGCCTACAAAGGGGGCAGGTCCTTCAACCTCCAAGTCCTGGTTGTGAGCTCCAGTAGAGCAGACAGAAGTAAGGAGCCACAGATGCAGAACCAAGGCTCTCCTCTCCCTGCCACTCCACCCCTTCATCCCCACTCCCCTGCTCCATCTGGACTTCCAGGCTCAGCATCTTCAGTAACCCCCACACTAGATTTGCCCTGGCTCAGTTTTCCCTCTTGACCCTGGTCTGAGGCCCAGGTGAGTATCAAATCTAACCAGGTTTGTATTCAAAACCTAACAGAGCAGCCATGGTGAAGAGAGGGAGCCCCTTCTCCCTACTGTTCCACTTGCAACGGCTCTAACAGCCTGGTCCTCCCACTCCCCCCTGCAGATCTCCCAGTGCCAGCAACATCCTCTCAAGAACAAGGCCTCTGCACCTGCTTCACACAAGCTCGGTACCAGGACCCCTCCCATCCCCATGGCACCCTTTGCTCCCTTCCACTTGGCCATGCAAGGCACAGAGTTGGGGTGGGGGAGCGGGGAGCTCTGCCAAGGTCACAGACTTGCCACAGGGCACAGGGACTTGAACTGGGGTTTGAGGGACACTATGAGGTGTGGATTTCCACCAACCATACCACCTTCCCACACAGGAGCACAGGAGCCTTTAACAGTTACTCATTTACTCAGTCCTATCCCCTACCCCCACCCCCAGCCATCCTGCTGTTACTCAGTCCTCCACCAGCTGCCCCTAGGAAGGATGCTTTCTTCCCAACTTCCCACCCTCCCTGGGTGGTGACGGGGTGGCTCTGGCCTCAAGGCCCTCTTCTCCTAGTGACCTCTGCTCAGGACATTGAGCACATAGAGGAGAGTTGACTGTAAACTGCTTTGTAAATGGCTCCAAACCAGTTCGGACTGCCTAAGCTCCAGATATAAGTGACAGGCCTGGGCTGGCCACAGAGGGGGTAGGGCTAGGAGAGACGGGCCTGGCCCCAGTTCTTAGAACTCCTTCTAGGTACTCCCCACCAAAGTGGGGAGGGGTGGAGGAAGCTGGGAGGATAGGGCTGTTAGTATCAAGGCTTAGTGGGACCTTGGGTGCCCGTCCCCTTTTCCCACTCTATTTCCTAACTCACATTGTACAGTTAAGGAAACTGAGGCTTAGAGAATAAAGTGGCTCAGTCCCCCAGGCACTTAGAGACAGAACACAAGCAAGACTCTCCTGTTCCTCTCCGTATGTCCGAGTCTGTCTTTAACTAGTTGTGTGACATTGAAAGAGTCACCCCACCTCTCTGGGCACTAAAGGTTTATAGCACCTGACATGCTCACCCCCTCAAAGCTGTGTGGGGACCAAGAAGAGTAATAGCAGCAGCAGCTTTTATCTAAATACAACACTGCAGTTGCAACTATGTCCTTCCCATCTTCCATACACCATACTTGGGTTAGCACAGGGCTATGCAGAGCCAACACTGACGAGCCATTTTATAGATGAAAGTACTATGACTCACAAAGACCCAGCATGACAGAGCTCTCAGCAACTGGGGGGCACAGAATGAAACATCCAGATGGAGCACCCAGGGCACAATGCTACTCCAAAGAAAGCTCCAACCTGAGATCTGTGCTTCCGGGTCTGTGAGATAAAAGGGAACTGCAGAAAACACAGAGTACTTGGAATAGGGGTGAGCTGTGGGTTCAGCTTGAAAGATAGTAAATGCTGACCAACTTCTGATTGAACATGGGGACGGTGCATAGATCCTATTGTGTCCCCGTTCTGGCTGGCTCGAGGCCCAGATGTAGGGGAGTTCCGATCAGCCACAATGGAAGATGGATGGATGAACAAAAGGATATTGCCTAGAACAGACAGACTATGGAGTGTCCAAATGGGAAAAACACAGCAGTTGAAGGCAAGGGGTTGGTACCTGAGACAATAAGGGACACATGTCCTCCTGCCCCCAACCCCATCCCCTACCTTAGGATAGCATTGGCACATGCTCCAGATGACACCCCCAATCACCATGATGCTGCCCATAGCGTAGAAAGTGCCATAGACCTGGGGTTGATCGTGGCTCATAAGGAATGTGCCGAGGGAGAGCAAGAAGAGGCCCAGCACGATGAAGCCGATTCGGAAGGTCTTCTCATCAGCCATGGTGACTGAACAGCCCTGATAGCTGACCAGCTCCCCGGCAGAGGACTGCCCACAATCCTACTCCAACGTGGAGCAGGCTCTTAGGGAGGGATGATACACTGCTCGACTGGAGTATAAAGCACAAAGCAGGGAATGGTCCCCACAGGTCCAGCTCCCAGCCCTGGGCCCCGCAGTTCTGTAGGGCAGGAGGTGACTCGCTTCAGTGGGCCCAAGTGCCCAGCCATCTACCTTTCCTCCTGCCACTCTCCTTCCCTCTGGGCCCAGCTGTTTGGAGCTTGTGAATCTGAGCAGGGGACAGAGGCAGTGGGGGCTGGGGGAGGTCACAGGGGCTGGGCGGGCCATGGCTTTGACATCATCTCATTTGCCTACTGTGGAGCTGAGCCCAGACAGGTTTTGCACCTCCCAGCTCTGGGAAGCAGGGGTGGGGCTGTGGCAGCGTCCAGAACCCACAGCCTGACAGTTTAGACACCTAAAGACACCTTCTCAAGGACACCTGGTCATATAGGCTCAAAGGAATATCTGTTCCTACTAAACCATCACCATCCTAGATCTGACTCTGTTCAGTTTATTTAAGGAGATGGGTGCCGTATTCCACTTCACAAATGGGGATGCAGGCATTGATAAGTAACCTGCCCAAAGTCAAAATAATGACAGAACAGCTGGGACTAGAGCCCAGAGGCTGCATATCCCACTGCATGAGCCTAGTTAACCACAGCACAGGTGAAAACAGGGTCAGGCTCCATGTCTCCGCTGTGTGGTGCATGGCCTTGCTCACCAGCTGGCGGTGGCCCACTATCTTCCTCTATAAATGGGGGGGGGGGTATTAGTAGCCCCTCCCAGAGCCAAAGCCGGCCTTACCTCCCATATCCCTTTTATATCCCACATTCAGCCAAGCCCTGCTTTTCATGGGGGCCAGGACGGGGTGAGTCGGTGCCCCTGCAGGTATGACTGACAGACTGACGTCTACTTCACCTATTCTGGAAAGCCATCTTGGCCCTAAGAACGATAGTCTAGGGGAGGACTTGCAGTTCTGACATGGCTGATGGGGAAAGGCAGATTCGCTTCCTTTGCTGCCACCACAAGCACCCAGAGCACGACGGCTGGAGTTCTTGTGAGTGACCTGTGCAACAGCAAGGGTTCCCAGTGAGCTCCCCAAACCCCTGAACTCAGGGACTTTCCTGTGTGTGCATGTGGCTTGCTCGTGCCTCATTGTGCTCATCCACACACCTTTCCTGGCATGCCTGCCTGACCTTGAGGCCTCTTCCTAAAGAGGGCTCTGCGCTCTCTGTCTTCCACCATCTCTGTCCCTCAGCTCTGTCCAGCTGCACTCCACAGTTTGTAGAAACTTCAGGAACTGGGAACAGGCACCCTGAGAAACCCCGCCCAGGCACCAAGTCTCTGGTCACTCTAGTCTGATTCCCAGGGTGAACTTAGGCAGTGGACTTGAGTTTTGTTCACCTGTGGATTATAAGGAGCCATTAGGCCATCTCCTGGTCTAGTACCAGAAAATGACATAGTGGAGGGAAAGCCTTTTGGAATTGTGACTAGCCACAGAGACCTCTAGGGAGATATTAGAATCATCTTAAAGAGACTTGGAGACAAGAGAGGCCATGAATGCAGAGCAACCCAGCTGGTATCCATCCTAAATAAGAGGTTGAAGACTGGGGAGACCTAGGCGATATGGTCCTAAGAGCCAGGGCTGCAGCATTCAAAGGGGATGAATCTGCCACATCCACAGAAGCTTCTCATGCCCTCTGGTGGCCTTGTAGTGTGTCTGGCATGGTGCTGTCACATCTTGTGCTTGCTACCTCTGTACACCTAGCCCCCTGTACAAATGGAGGAGTTGCCATGCCCACCTCCCAGATACGGAAACCAAGCCTGGGGAGCAACAGAGATTGGCCAAGATCTTCCCTAATGCCCCCAGAGCTCAAGTAAACAGATCTAGCTTTGTGGCATTCTGGAGAGGTCTGGGAATTCTCCTCTCTGCTCATCTTTTCTTTCTTTGCCATAAACCAGTCTTTCTTTGCACCTTTGCCAGCCAAGAGGACTAAGAAACCCTGAGATAAGTCAGTGCTGGCTTAAATGGGCCTGATCTCTTCTGGAGTCAAGAATTAAATGGCCATAGGGCAGGCTCCTCTTCCAGGACTAGCTGGGGCAGCACAAACAGGACTCTACAGGGAATAAAGGGGAAAAGGGGGGAGGGGAATCTCAAAGCTGTGTGGGAAGGGATGGAAGGTGGAGATGATGGTTATGGGAGGAATTGGAGAAGGGAGGGTGAATATATTCAAATACATTGTATGAAATTCCCAAAGGATTAATACAAGTATTTTTAAAAAGAATTAAATGTCCAGTGCTGTTCTCCTGGGTAGACACTGTGCCAAGGCAATTCCTAGTGACTTATTGCTGTGCCCGTAGATGGGTGTGTCTCTTGGCCTCACTGAAAGGGTTTCTCTTTGTAGCCGATGCTGGGATGGTCAGTGTGCTGAGGGTGAGAGCCTGTCGAGTGCTCTGCCCTGGGTGGATTATGTCTGGCCCATCCCACCCTTAGGGCTCAGAGATCTTCACATGGGGATGGGCAAGGGGATTGTGGTGTCTGAAGGTGGTAGATAACATGGGGGCAGGGCACAAGATTTTCTGGACAGTGCTGGGCAGTTGCACATAGGAGCTGGTGGCAGTTGTGTCAGCACTAACAGGGTCTGTACTGACTCTGGCTGGCCAGGGTCCCTGTATGGAGGTGGGGGAGTGGGAGTAGACTTGGCCACTGGCTGGGGGCGCTGTTGGTATCTGCTGGGAAGGGGAGAGTCAGTTTTCTTTGCTGATCCCTGGTGAGCAAGCGCACTTGGGTTCCCCAGCTCTCAGTAGTTGGTTGGGCTGAGGCATGGACTCCACTGGGAAAGGAAGGAGCTATGGGAGTGGTCCAGGAGTCCATGGTCTTCCAGCAGAGAACAGGTCGGAACCAGTCACAACTGTTCAGAACCTGTTGGAACCAGTCAAAACCAGTCGGAACAAGTATGAACCAGATTGAACCGGTCTGAAATGGATTAAACTGGTTGGAACTGATGATGAGGATGGGTTAGATGCTATCTTCTGGAAGGTGTGTCCAACCTGTGGTCAATAACTATGAATGCAGCCAGACACACTTGTAAATATACTTAAAACATGAGTTTTTTGGGGTTTTCTGTTTGTTTTGTTTTTGTTTTTGTTTTTGTTTTTTGCAATTCAGTTGTCCTGTTCTCAGTATGAACTTTGTGTTTCAAGTCAAACAGTTGAACATGTCTGAAGGTATTGAGGGGTCCTGGGTGTGAGCTGTCTCACAAGATGCTTAAAGATAGAACACACTGGGCACAAGTAGGAACCTAAGCCTGTGAAGACAAGGCTTGTCCTGAGGAGCCAGAGCCTGTCAATAACAGAGATCAACCATGTTCCTGCCTCCTCTGTCTAGGCTCTTGCCACACAGGGCACTCTGAGGGTCGAAGCAGGCTGACAGCACAGATTCAGGGATGGGGTGCTTGGCTACGTTGTCTCCAGAATGGCAAAATGAAGACTGATGGGCATGATAGTGACTCACTGTGTGCAGCCGACTCATGGTACACCCGTGTCAGCTCTCATCCAGGTCCTTCTTAGACCACCTCCCTTGCCTCCTGTCTCCCAAATCCTGCTAACTCTATGTCTTAGTCAGGGTTTCTATTTCTGTGAAGAGAGACACCATGACCACAACAACTCTTATAAGAAAAACATTTAATTGGGGCTGGCTTGCATTTTCAGCCGCTTAGTCCATTATCTTCATGGTGGCATGCAGCCAGACACGGTGCTGGAGAGGGAGCTGAGAATTCTGCATCTTGATCCTCAGGCAGCAGAAGCAGCTGTGAGCCACACGGAGCATGGCTTGAACATATGAGACCTCAAAGCCCACAGTGACACACTGCCTCCAAGGCCATACCTCCTAATATGCCACTCCCTATGGGCCAAGCATTTAGACGCATGAGTCTATGGGGTCATACCTATTCAAACCTCCACATTCCACTTCCAGGCCCCCATAGGCTGTAGTCAAAAGTCTCCATACATAGTCTATCACAGTCCCAACCCTGTTTAAGGGTCCAAAGTTTAAAGGCTTTTCTGAGACTCCTGAAATCTCTTAAATGTAATCCCCTGTAAAATCAAAATAATAAAGCAGATCACATACTTCCAACATAGAATGGCACAGGATATTCATTACCATTCCAAAATGGAGGAAAGGGAGCATAGTAAGGAAATACTGGACCAAAGCAAGACCAAAACCAAGCTGGGCAAACTCCAAACTCTACAACTCCATGTCTGATGTCAAAACTCTCTTCAGATCTCCAACTCCTTTCAGCTCTCCTAACTGCAACACGCTTCTTTCTCTTGGGCTAATTCCATTACCATTAGCAGCTTTCTTCAGCAAGTATCCCACAACTCAGGCATCTAAAATATCTTGGGGTCTCCAAGGCAATCCAAGCTTCACCTTTATAGCTTCACACATTTGGGCTTCCAATGCAGGGACACTCCTGCCACATGCCTGGCCTCAGTGGCTTTCCTTAGTCATGGAAGACGATTCCATAACCCCTTTCTTTTTTCCTTGATTCTAAAGTCAGAACATGCCCCCCTCATTCAATAACATCTTCATCAGCTTTCTGTTTTCAATGGTTTCCTCCACTGCCTAAGCTTGGCTGTCCTGAAATTGGATCTATAGACCAGGACGACCTCAAACTTGGAGATCTGTCAGCCTCTGCCTTCTGAGTACTGGGACTAAAGGCGTGCACCACCACACCTGGATCTAAACTGTTCTTTAATTGCTTTTCACAAGTTGAAAGCTTAGCTGGGTGGGGTCTTGCCCTGAGGTCGCCACTCCCTTTATTCTGTTTCTGAATCTGTTGATCTCCTTGAACACAGGCTTTAGCTTCATCCCACTTCCTGGTGCCCCTCTCTCCTCAATCTGTACATTTTCTATCTTCCCTTGATCAGCTTGCTCCTTTTCATTATAAATCTTCATTAGAGTTACCACTAATAACCACATGACAGAGTCTATACAAGGCTGTTTTGAGATTTCCTCTGCCAACAGAATTAATCCAAATTTCTTCACTTTATCTTCGGGCAGACTCTTCAGATAAGGACAAAAAACAGCCATGTTCTTCACAAAAATATCACTTGAGCCAGGTCCACACAGTTCAGATCACCTTCAGCACAACTGTCTTCCATGCTCATTAAGCCCCACTTAAAGTGTTCAACTGCTTGTCTCATCCAAACTCCCAAAGACTGCATTCCTCAAAAAAAAAAAAAAAAATCATGGTAGGGTTTACACAGCAATACCCCAGTCCCTGGTACCAACTTCTGTCTTAGTTAGGGTTTCTATTGCTGTGAAGAGACACCATGACCACAGTAACTCTTTTAAAGGAAAACGTTTAACTGGGGCTGGTTTTCAGGTCAGAGGTTTAGTCTACTACCATCATGGCAGGAAACATGGCAGCATGCAGGCAGACATGGAGAGGTAGCTGAGAGTTCTACATCTTGACCCACAGGCAGGAGAAGGAGACTGTGTGGCCCCTCTGGGAATGGCTTGAACATATATGAGACCTCAAAGTCTCAAAGCCTGCGCTCACATTAACACACTTCCTTCAACAAGGTCACACCTCCTAATAGTGCAACTCTCTATGGGCCAAGCATTCAAACACATGAGTCTATGGGGGCCATTACTATTACAGATCTACTTTCTGTAAACTAGAATCTAATCACTCCTTTCCCTCTACTGTCCTTTCCCTATCACTGGTCTCTGCTTCCACGCTTGACCCTTGAAGTCTCTTCCTAACCCAAATGGACATCAGCACATGTCACTGCTCTGCTCGTAACTTTGGAATATCAACCTGTCTTCTTAGGGTAAAGGCCTGGAGGTGGTCCATAAGTCCATAGATCACTTTTGTATAATGCCTGTTCATCGTCTCTCAAGGTCATCACTCACCCTAAGGTCATTCTGGTTCCATGCTCTTCCTGAATGCACAGACACCCCAGGGCCCTTCATCTGCTTTTCCTTCTGCCCAGCATGATCTTCCTCCAGATATCGGCATGGATGTCTCCCTTGCTAAGTCTTTAAACCTATGGTCTCTTCAGTGGGATCTTCCCTGGCCATTCCCTAGATTGCAGAAGCCCTCCCCCAAAGAGTTTCCTCAATTTTCCTAATTTGTTGTGCTCCATAGCATTAATCACCATCTATCATACTATACAAATTATCTATTTTGTCTCTTGTCTGTCTTTCTAACTAAAAGTCAAACTACAGTGGCTGATGGGAGTGGCTTGTTTTGTTCACTTCTGTGTCCCCTGGGTCTGGAACAGGGAGCCCCCTGGATGGTATTTGAGAGGAGAGAGATGAAGTGTAAGGACTAGAGCTGAGGAGGTCAAGAATATATGGGCAGGAAACCTCTAGGGTGACATTTTCCTAAAACCAACAGAAGCCTCTGTAGAGTCACAGGAGGTCACAGGGGGCCACAGGGGCCATAGGGGGTGGGGGAATCACACTTTGTTTCTAGAAAGCCAGATTAAAGGTGGACAGTGCCTGGGGCAGTGACAGGCAGGGGTCACCAAGCAACACACACTTGCAAGTATCCTGAAAAAGGTATGGAGAGCCTGAGTCACAAAGGTCCCTGACATCTGGGTGTCACTGGCTAGGTGACCAATCAGGATGATTCTAAATATGGATGGATTGCCTGCAATCAAGCTCAGAAAGGGCAACAGCAGGGAACAGCCTGGCTCCATGGCAGGGCCTGCAAGGCGCATAAGTTCTTCAGCTAGGCCACTACAGTTCAGAACGGGACAGCACCCTGCCTTGGTGAGATAGCCATAGCCTTGGCTCAGACTCAGGCTGGTAACCTTGACCAAGTCACTGCCCTTTCCTGAACCAGATGAACAGATGTGGAGAGAGACAGAAAAGTCCATTGTGGCTAGCTAGCACTCCCTACTTGCCCTTCAGCTGGTGCCAAGACAGAACCTGTCCACACCAGCTACTCATTAACACTATGCCCTGTGGTAAATACCTCACTTGGGAAACCCCTTAGAAATTGCAGAGGGTCTAAGATAGGCCCGGCCTAAGTCACCACCAGAGTGGGGAGATAGGGCCTCTCCAGACACCTTTGTGGCTTAGGATAACCTCTGGGAAGAGAGAATATGACAGGAGAGTAGAAAGGGAGGGGCCAGAACTTCTGAAGGGAGGATGGGACAGGAAGTGCCAAGGCCTAGGGGTCTGGCTAGGAGCAAAGAGCAAGGGCCAGGAGTAAGTGGTGGGAGCTGGAAGTTTACTTTGCAGAGCAGGCCTTCTCCCAGCCCAGACTGTGTAACAGTTTTTGCCATTCAGAGAGAGCTGGGAGCCAGGCCCTACCTGTACTTGGCATTAAAAGGCTCTCAGTGGCTTGAGAAGATTGTGGGAAATAGGCAGAGTGACAATACAGCCCTCCACTGTGGTCCAGTCTAGATGGGAAGCCCGCATCCTGACTCTACTTTGAGCTCTCGTTTGCACAGGTTGCTTCCCCACATGGGGACCCCCCACATACACTTGTAATAATAAGGGGCTTCACAGGTGAAGAGGAGATAGGAGCAGAGGCCTAGCCTAGCACCATCTGGCCCTTGGGGCTGCCACCTTTGAGTCCCTGCCACCTTGGGGCCTTGGGGAAGTCACTTAGTCCCCCTGAGAGAGAGAATGAGACTGACATGATATCTCTGCTGCCTTCTAGGCCTTTGACCTGCATACTGGAGAATGACACTGTCCCTGAGGAGAGGGGCAAAAGTGACCAAAGACTGCATATGCCTCCCTTACTCTGGTGCTGTGTGTCCCTCACATTTCAGCATGAGCAACACGGCCTGAGTTAAAAGGATTTTATTTGCAAGTTTGTGATCTGTAGGTCAAGCTGATGAAATGGGGTGGGACAAGGGTGAGCAAGGAACTACCAGCTAGGAATGAACAGAACTGGACCAATTGGTGGCATAGAAGAGTGGGTAGAGGCTTAGTGGGCAGAATGCAGCTGGAGAGAAAGTTACTATTAGTGCCATATCTGGAGAGCCAGGGACAGCAGTGAGACTCGTGTTACAGGATGCTGAGCTATCACCTGGTAGAGGAGGCTTACCTCCACCAACTCTGAGACGTGCAGCAGTTTGAGGGCCTCTGGCCCAGGGCAGTGCCCTGCATTCAGTTTGCTGCTCAGTGCCACTACTGTCACCCCATGGGTCCTCTCACTTGGCTCTCTGAGGCAAGGGCTGGTGCTGCTACAAAATGCCAATACGAGGAAACTGAGGCCCAAAGGATTCATTGCCATGGTGGCACAGGATAAGACCTGGGCCTCAGGGAGGCTTAGATTGGAGTCTGTGTTCTCTTGGCTACAAACTGGTTGTGTAAACTTGGACCGAATCTGCTTCTGCCTCTGGTCTTGTGTTCATTGCACAGAATCTCCTAGCTGTCAGCTGCTGGGTCCCAGCACAGCCAGGAGGTCCTATTCCAGTTGGGACTCTGGTGACGGCCTCCCCAATACCTCCTGGGGGGAAAAAAACATAGGAACCAGCCATGCATAAAATGATGAGATGTAATAAATTGGGGTTTATTTAAAATCATCTAACATGGAGATGGTCTCTTACACAGAAACAGATACATAAACAGCACCCAGCCCCAGAGCTCTGTTGGATGTCTGCTGTGAACCCAGCACTGGAGGATGCCCTGAGCCAAGCTCATGGCTTAGGGACCAGTTTCAAGGGCCTGCTGGAACTCCCCTGCAGCCTGAGCTCAACCTGAGCTGGAGCTTGCAGCACGTGGACCATAAACAGCCCCCTGATGGAGGATGATGCTCTCGTAGCTGGGTGGGGGTGAGAGGGATGATGACCCCAGCAGGGCATCCCCCGGGGCGTGGCACTGAAGGTCTTCTTCGGGCTGCACAGGGCATGGCTGGGGACCCTCAGCCAGTGGACAGTACATGGCCTCCTCGTAAGTGGGAATGACAGCCTCCTTGGGAGGCCTATGGGAACAGGAAAGAAGCTGTTAGTAGGGCCAATTCAAATTCTCCTGCATGCCAGGGAGACAGAGGAGTCTGCATGACCACAGGGAGACAGGGGCAGAGTCTGTGTGGGCACAGGGAGACAGGGAAGAATCTGCATGGCCATGCCCACATAGCCCTTACAATGTTTGATGGAACAGCCTGCCAACATCAGCTCTCCCTCCTCTTCACAAGACCCCTGTTCCCCTCCCACACTCTTCCCTGACATCACTTCCCACTTTGACACTTCCTCAGGGACATTTTCTGACCTGTCCTGATATCCCCTGAGCTTCCATGTTGCTCTTCTCTATCACTGTATTGACACTGTGTGTTGCCTTTTTGGGCAGAGATTGACTGGAATGTCTCAACACTGAGAACAGGTTCTTAGGGGCATTTGTTGAGAAATTAAAGATGGTCCATGGTGACTGAAATATCATTTGTAAAGTTACAGTTGTGATGTTCAAGGCAGAATTCGAGGCCTCAGATTACCTGTCCATCTAGATGCTTGAGACTTGACAAGGTAAGCTAACCAGGTGATTGCTTCTCCTTGCATGCTCCCAGGGAGAGAGAGCTCACTATTTACCAAGTCAATCTTTTCTTTCACTCTACATTGTAGCCCACCCCTGACTCTCCAACCCACCCATCACACCCAGGCAACCGAATCACCTAACAGGACTGTGAGGCAAAGACTCGGTACTCAGAGGCCCTCCCACTCTGATCTGGCTTTGCAGGCCAGATTTCAAGGACAAATGTCCTGCTTCTGAGATCATGTGGGTCACCTCCACTGAGCTAGTGCCTTCCTTTGCCCCAGGGCTCTGAGCAGGCTGCCACCCTCACAGCAAACCACTGGGGGGGTGAGGGGGGAGGCAAGATCACCCTCCCGGTCACAGAGCAGCTCCGCAGGCCCTGGATTTGAACTTGGCTTAGATAGAAGAAGAGAGCTGGGGATCAGCCAGGAGACCTGCAGCTGAGAATCAACCAGTGCTCACCTTCCTCTGAGCTCCCAGCAGGCTTTGCAAGGGAGGGCAACGCTTCTGCCAAGCCTGGTGATACATGCCTGTCACCTCAGTATTCTAGAGGCTGAGGCAACAGGACTTGTAATTGAGGCCAGCTTTGGCTACATAGCAAGTTCAAGGCCAGCTAGGGCTGCCTAGTAAGATCCTGTCTCAACAAATCAGAAAAGAAGAAAGGGGGTGGGAGGTGCAGAGAAGCTAAGTTCTGGGGGTAGGGGGGGCAACACACTGAACTCTTTGCTGTGTGGCCTGGGTTCTGTTCCCACATTCTCTGGGCCTCTCCTTCCTCAGCTGTGGAATGGGAATAATGCTTGCCTTGTCACAGGTGCAGAAGAGGTAAAGCAGAAAAAGGGTTAGCAGGCATGAAGTGAATGCAGGCCATAGGCCTCCGGAGCCCTCCTCTCCCTTCTTGTGCACTTCCCAGCCATGCCATGCCCACCCCAGATTACTTGAGCTGGTTCTGGATCTGCTTGGGGCCAGCCCAGCAGGTGGCAGCCAGCAGAACATATGTAACTTAGGTACCTCAGGAGCTCAGCCCACAGCAGGAAGTTTGCTTAGAGGGCAGGTGTACAACAGCCCTCAGGCCTGCTCCTGTCACCTCAGCAGTCTGTTGGCTCATCAACCTTAACTGTCCAAGGTCATAGTTCAGAATACAAGAATGCCCAGAACTCGGGCGTTTGCAAGGTCCTGTCCTAATGTTGGAGACTCCTAGTACATTCCCGCCATAGAGCTCAATGGTTGCAGGGGTAGCCCTGCCAGGAGGGCTCATGCACAGAGACCAGACAGCCTTGTGGGGGAAGGAGACGGGCTCCTTGCTGGCCCCATTGGCTTTCTGTTGAGAAACCAAACCCAGTAGGGCAGGAGTAAGCCCCACCCATCTCACAGATGAATGAGTGTAGGGCAAATCAGCTGAGTGGACAGCCCTCTCTGATGGCAGAGCTCAAGCTCACCCTATACCATGCACCTCTCCCAAGCCAACTACACCCTCACATCTCCCTTTCATAAAACAGGCCTAATCCTTAGATCCTCCCTATAAGCAGCCAAGGTTCAAGCCCGTAGAGACCAAGACTGCAATGAAGAAGAGCAGAGAATGCTAAGAGGTTCAGGCTTCGCAGGATACACATGACCATGTCACAGGAGCCCGCAGCACCCTGGCGGGAGGGAGAAGGAGGCTGGTCTTCAGCGTCACCTTGGCAAGGTCTAGAATCACCCAGGAGACAGACACACCTCGGGGTACATCTGTGGGACAGTTTCTCAACTTAGTCAATTGCAGTGGGAAGACCCAGCCTAATGTAAGGTATATCATTACCTGGCCTGATGTCTCGGACTGAACGGAAAGGACAAAGTGAGCTTCTGCTCCTGACTATAGATACAACATGGCCAGCTGCCTCACACTCCTGTCACTGGGCCCTCCTTGCCATGATGGAAAAATACCCAAAACTTGTGAGCCCAAATAAACCCTTCCTCAAAATGTTCTCTTGTTTTGTTTTTCAGGTATTTTTGTCACAGCAGTGAGCTGTAGTACAGAGGGTCTGTTCTTCCTCCTACTGCAACTGACAGATAAGGCATCAGGTGTGACTTGGGAAAACTGGGGACATTCACAGACACATGGCTTCTAGCAGAAAGGGGAGCGACAGAAAGTTGGCCTTCAGAGTGGGCCTGGCACTGCCTGTTTTGCTCATTGAAGGACAAAAGGGGCCTCTATTCAGGACTGACAGTTTCCAGAGGAGCTTCTTGGGAGGGTCTCATCTGTCTTGACACTGATGCACCACCAATGCTGGACCCACCACATGGTAGGTGCTCAGGCAAGGGAGAGTAGGTGAGTAAAATGGGGAGTGAAGACCAGACACAGAAAGAGGAATGCCCAAGCCAACAAATGAGAAGCCTGTTTCTAGCCACAACCAGGCAACCCCAGGGAGTGAGGTGTCTCCCATGGGGTCAGGATCAGACAAGCAGGCTTCCTCAGTACCCAGTCACACCAGGTTCTGAATCTGAAACTTGGGTCCCAGAGCTGGATGGGCCCCTTCCTGCTTCCTGCCTAACTGAGGATGGAATAGCCCACCTAACCCGTGGCTGCGGCCTGGGCTGTATTGACACAACACTGTTGCCTGTATAGACAACAGCTACACCTTCTGCTCAGGCCAGGCTGGGCGTGGCAGAAGGACAGACTGTCCTGGCTGTCAGAGTCCAACTCATTTTATGAGCAGGTAGGTCACTGTCTCTCAGAAAAGTTTCTCTTCTGTGAAGTGCAAAGTTTGGCTGGGTAAGGCGCCCTTCCCTCTGATGGAACAACTCTGTAACCCAGGCTGGCCTGGACTCAGTTGCTCGAGCTCAGCTCCCAAGTGCCCCACCATGCCCCCCACTTGAGGTCTGCCTATAGGCCTAAGTAATATCTGTGGGATGTTGTATCTAGTAGCCTCAAGGAGCCATGGGCTGATAGCAAGATCCAGAAGACACTGTCTACCTGATAAAGGGAAGCAAGGCATCCGGGAAGGTCCCAACCAGTTCACAGGAGTATAGGTTAGCCCCCACTGAACTGACACCAGTGCTTATGGAGAAGTGTTGGGTAGGGCCACAAGCTTTGCAGCTTGTGACAAACCTCCCTCTTCTGCAAACAGCAACAGTGATTCCCCGTGGCATAAAGGTGCAAGCAGACAGAGGGCAGAAATCCCATGCAGGCTCCAGGCACACTGAATGCTTTGTTGAATTAACAAATATCCAAGGAGAACATGAATGACCCAGCTTGCTTACAGGACAAAATCGGTTTCCAGACATAAGACACAAATGTACGCACACAACATATGTACACAAACCACAGCACATCTATGGGGATCAGAGTCTAAGAAAACATGCTAAAAAGCTGGGAATGATGCATGTCTGTGATCCCAACCCTTGAGACAGGAGGATCACACATTTTATGTCACATTGGATTACAAAGTAAGACTCTGTCTTTAAAAAGAGACGGAAATGAGGAAGAAAAAAATGTTCAAATGGCTAGGGGATAATATCAATGGGGGAAACAAAACAGGCTGAGAACTGTTTTGATGCAACTGTTGGCTTCTGCCTTCACCCAACCCCCACCCCATGTGCACCCATCCTCACCTTCGTAGGTAAGGAAAAGTTGCCACTTCAAACACACCTACCATGTGCTGGGCACTTGGCTGAGTTGTGCCCACCCATCACTCCCTCATTGTCCCCAATGTCTCCTGAGACAGGGGCCTATGGTGAGCACTGGTTCCCATCAAGGCTGCTGGAGGTTGGGTCCCAGGTCTAACACAGAGATGTGTATCCCTGGGCAGGTTTTGGAATGTCTCTGTGTGGGTTTCATCCTCCACAAATGGAGAAGTCCAGGCTACGTCACCTGGGATGTGGAGAGGTCACTTGGCATAGTGCCTGGCCCTGGTCAGCGTCCTATTGTGCCTCGGGAACTCTTCCTATCCTGAGCTCTTGACTCCTCTGCTTCTCTGCTGAGCTTGGCTGCTGCCTCCTCCTATAAGACTGCCCAAATTTCTCCACATTTCCGCAGGACTATGCCTGCTCTTCACATAGCTCTCATTACTCTGGTTTGTCATTTGCCTCTGTCATGGGGCTTCCATGTCCTTGGGATACAGGTAGGGCAAGGCCTTGTCCAGTGGAGGAATCGCAAAAGAATTTGCTGAGCAAATACTGGGTACAGTGACTGTAGTGGATTCCCTGTGGTCCCCACCCTGCCCCACTAACCTGCAGTTCTTCTCAGAAGACTCCACAGCAAGGTGATACAGGTCTCTGGAGAGGTGGTACAGCTCCCCCTGGCTCGACCTCTTTGAGCTTTCCTGGATGGACCAGAGCAGGCCAAACAACAGAAGCAGGCCACCCAAGCTACAGCAGAGTAAGCTGACAGACTTGAGCCAAATTGGGGGGATCTTGGGCAACGGATGTTCCACTGTGGGGGCCAGTGAGCCAGGCTGGGCAGCTGTATCGTCTTCGCTCCACCATGCAAAGCAGAGTGTCCCAATCACCAGGACCACTGTGCCAATGACCGTCATGCAGTAACGCACAGTGGAGGCCACTTGGCCTCGGACGCACGTCTGCACATAGAAGGAGAGAGAATCTGAAGACATGGGCCAGCAAAATGTACCGAGACCTCCGAGAAGTCATCTGACTTATACTTCGGTTTCGTCACCTGTGACATGAAGATGATACCCATGCACTGCAGGGCTACTGTGATGGCCACCAAAAAGGCTGTTTCAGGTTCCTAGCACTACCCTTGGGATACAGCAGGAGCATAACCATATAAGAGTAAGTGTGCCACATTCAATCTGAGCCTCTACATAAGCCTCAGGGGCCTTGGCCTGATGGGTAGGTGGTTCCATGCTGGCCAATTTATGGGCAGCTGGGAAAGGCCAGGGCTTGCTGGCTGCACTCTGCCTCTCCTCCCCTAGTCACCACCTCACAGGGTCCAGCTCTTGTCTCCGTTTGACAGAAGATAGAGGGTTATGGGGAGCAGGGCAAGTGTGAAAAGAGGTGCTGGAATGTGAAATTGAATGTGGTGCCTGACATAGAGCGGGATTTTTCCGGGACGTCTTTACCACAGTCACAGCACTGAAAGAGCCTAACAGAACTGCACATAAGCTATGTCATGACCACAAGGGGAAATTATATAAACTCATTAAAAAGTTGGGTTTAGGGCTGGAGAGATGGCTCAATGGTTAAGAGCACCAGCTGCTCTTCCAAAGACCCTGGGTTCAGTTTCTAGCACCCACATGGCAGCTCCAGCTGTCTCTAATTCCAGTTCCAGGGGACCTGTACCCTCTTCTGACCTCCGTGAGTACTGCTTGCATGTGGTGCACACACATATTACACACATGCAGGCAGAATACCCATACACATTTTTAAGATTTTTTTTTAAGTTGGACTCAGCATGAATGTTTGGCAGAAGGGGAACACTCACGCATTTTGCTCTTTTGAACTCATATGGATCACTGGAAGAGGGAGGACTCAGCAAAAAATGTTGCATCGGAGAACTGCAGGAAGCAAGCCTGGTCCCAGATCCTATAGTCCAGAAGAGGCTGGCACTGGCCCCCAAACCTCACCTCTAAGCTACTGCCCCTACTGATCCCTCTCTGTGGTGTGCCCTGCAAAGCTCAGCGTGGTCCTTGCTTGGGAACCTTCTGAAGACCCCTGCACCTTCTGGGAGCACACCACTCATCTCTTATGCTTGTGCCCTCCTTGGCTTGTCCCCTAACTGAACCAGAGATTTCTGAACCACTGAGTCACCAGCTGCATATAGATGTGCCATGGAAACCAGTTCTTTGTTGGGAATTAGCATTTGGGAAAGTTCATCCTCCCTCCAATCAAGGGAAGGCCATGGAAGGTGACAGACCCGTTCCAAAGCCTTCCCACACCCCAAAATTGCTCATCATGAAGAGAATGAAGGGGAAAAATCAAGCCAGGATGAATCCTGCCCCTCAGAGACAAGCATGAGCCCCGCTGAGCAGTTTCTACCCAGCCTGCCCTTGGTCTACACACATAATGTTGATGACTAGCATGTGCTGGGGGTATTGCCCAGTTGAGCACTTTACTGGTGTCCCCTTGCTTAATGCTCACCACAGTGCTGTCTCAAAGATACTGGTTGGGGATGTATTTAGATGCAGATCAAACCTAACTCGAGTTCCCTTGTATCTGCACAGCTGGGTCTCTGTATATACAGTTTTAGATGCCCACACCTGAGACCATCTCATGAGCCTGTGTCTGGCAGGCTGCTCTCCCTGAAAGACGCCCTCTGCCCTTCTCCTTCCTCCCTCCTCACAGCTCCAGGTGATGACAGCTAGTGTGTCCTGCTTCTGGACCCTTCCACTCCCATCTCTGAGAAGCCACCATCAGACATTTCGGTACCCCTTACGTGGGCATGCCTCCAGCGTCTGTACCTTGATAGGGGAGGAAGGGAGGGCTCCCTGTCCTGGAGGGTGTGACTTCCAACTCCTGGGGGGGCAGACAGGAAGCTCTGCAGCCCCAAAGAAGTTCCACCCCATCCTGGCACTCGGTCGGGGCCTGCCAAGCTGGTCCTGCTCCCACTGATCAGCCAGCCTCCCCTTGTCCCTAACCCCACTCCAATTTGAGCCACCTGGACTTCTCCCATATTTGATACTCCCTCTGACTGCGTCCCCACTTCACCCAAATTCAAAAAGGAAATTAATGTCACCCCTCCCAGGGACTGTGTCCACCTCGCTCCAGCTAGAAGGGGCCCTTCCAACCAGGAGGCTTTGCCCATCGCTCCCTCCTTGTGACCAGTAGTCTGTTAGCTCTAGGACCTTGATTGAGCAGGCTCCTGACACCCACACTTTGAGTTTACATCCTGTCTCTCAAGGCTAAGAGGTTATGGAGTTGAGTCCAGCAAGCTGTACCTGAGGTGTGAGTTCACAGAGCTGATTAGAGGGTGGCCCTACTCAGACACTACCAGGTTATCCAGTGTCTCCTTGCCTAAATGCCCCCCTCTATCATGAGCACTCCACCATAGCCGGGAGGGAATTGAACCAGGATATCACCTACTCTCTAGCCCCGACTGTCTACTACATGGGGTTCAGTTCAAATCAGCAAGAAGAAAGCCCTTTTCCTGCATCCAGACTGACAGAGATGGGGAGAGACCGGCACTGTCCCTGCTGCTGTCCTGCAGTGGCACCATGGGAGCACTGTAGGCACTTGTCTCTTTTGGGAAGCAAGAGTAGGACAACAGGTCCCTTCTGTATGGTCCAGGTTAAAGGGAGGGGTCCAGGCCACACCCTTAGCAGAAGCTGAGGTGCTCCTGGCGGGAGAGAGACAGGATGTTCGAACCCACCTCGCATGCAGCCATCAGGCTGGTCCAGGTGCCACAGGATCGGTCCAGGGGAGAGCCCAGCTCATTAGAAGGCGTGGTGGTGGTGGTGGTGGTGGTGGCGGCTGAGCTCTGCAGGCATCGAGCATCTGGGGAGACTCTGGTAGCTGTCCCCAGCTGTGCCCTTGGCACTTCACAGGCTCCTTGAGGTCTCTGTTCTGGTCTCCACTAGGGCTGAGGTCCTTCCCTCCCTGTCACCGAGCCCAGCAGCTGGGTCTCCAGCTGGGGATCCCACTGGGAAGCCACCTACCCACTGTCTTCTAGCCCTTGTGCCCTCGATCACCACCTCAAAGACTCTTATGCTTCAGTGCTTCCTCTAGGACCCAGGTGCCGGGCCAGTGTCCAACAGGCCCCGCCCAAACTTAAAGTGATAGTCTACCGGACAGGAGGGAGAAGCAATTTCCCCGAGAGGTAGAAACTGCACAAGTACAACTTGGTCCTGGAAACTCATTTCCCAAAGACATCCAGGGGAGGGACCTATGGAAGATCTGAGCCAGGACACCCTCACACCTGTTCACGGGGAAGAGAAACTGAGGGTCACAGAGGTAAAACCACTTACCAGAGTTTCCTGCATCCTGTATTGAAAAGAACGGCTCTATGACAGGGGCCAGAGAGCAGCCTCCCCTGTCATCTCTATATTCCAGGACAGCATTGTCAGTCCGAGGACCAGCTTGGAGAGTTCCTTCCTGGGGCACTGCCTTCTGAGAGAGGAGGGCCAGGAGCTGTGGCACTGATCTCTCTGCTGCACCCCTCTTCCTGCATCATCCTCTATGAGTGTTAGGTCTCAGAGGGCAAATGCCTGCTCTTCTTATAAACAGGTAATTTGGGAACCCAGAAGTAGGCTTAGCTCAGTTTGTGTCCTATGTCTCTGGGAGGACACATCTTTAAAAGGTGCGTGCAGGCCACAGCAGGAAGGAACAGTATGTGCCAAGCTGGACAAAGAACTTGTGTTTGAAGAAAGATTCCATGCAGAGCACCTGAGTTCTTTGAGCAGCCATCTTTCCCTCTGGTGAGGTCCTTCCTACATTGTTATCTTCCTCGTTGTGTGTGGTCTGCACAAATGTCACCATTTTACAGCAGGTGGCATGCCTATATAAGGTTGAGAAGTGGCTGAACAGAGACAGGGACCTCTGACGTTGTTATACCCCATCAAGACAGCCTGCCAGTGATTAAGGTCTGCCAGCAGCCCCTTGGTGCTGTGCTGGGGGAGATGAGGTGAGAGAAAGGAGGCCATGACACTTTGGGTTGTGCAGGCATCCACAAAGGGTGTGTCCCTCCCTGCCTGTTATTCCCAGATGAGTCACTGCATAGTAAGGTTGAGGTCCAGCCTGAGCCCTATTTGAACTTGAGTCTCTGGGTAGGAAATCAAGGCTTGTGTATTCTTTGCTCACGTGCTTATCCCTCCCCCACTGACAGCATCTCAAAGGCAGGCATGGACATTTTGTGCCTTGCCCCTTATCTATCCCTGTGCCATTTCAGAGTGATCACAACAGGCCTATGAGACCTACTAGAAACAACATGGGCTATGTGATGGTGAGTCCCCTTTGTCCCCTGACAACAGCACAGTACATCTCAAGGTCATCCAGCAGCACAGAGAAAGCCAGTCAAGGTCAGGGGTACAGTGCCTTCAAAGAACGGGATTCTGAGATCTGTTTCAACTAAGAAATTATTTGAACCAATCCTGGCCTGAGTAGGCTCACCCACTCCTACCCTCCCAAGGACATTTAACAGTGCATAGAAACATCTTTGGTTATTCTGGCTGTGGTGATAATGGGGTTGCTTCTAGTACAACATACAGGGACAGCTTCTCTATGCAGAAGTGCCCACTGTCTGATGGAAGAGAATTCAGATCTCAGTGAGTTTCTGGAGGGCGGAAGGTTCTAGCCCACATTCTACAGAGAGCTTCTGATCTCTCCCAAGGAGAGGAATAGGCCTGTCAGCAATGTGGGGGTGGAGCTACAGTTCTAAGCAGCAGCCCAGAATATCACCTTTCTCCTTAGGGACCTCCCTTTAAGACAATCCAGGATTCTTAGCTTCACACAGAAAAGCATTTCAGGAGCAGCAAATATGAAACAGAGTTGGAATTGTTATCTTATTCTTTTAGGTGTCTTTAATTTAAGCACATGAGTTAGTAGAAAAAGGAATGCTCAGAGAAAGAATGAGACATACCCAAGCGTGGGCCTCTCCAGGAAGAGACGCACCTGATGACTATATAAATGACACCGTGGATCCCTAAGCTCCCTTGCTCAGAGCAGGTAATTTATAACACAGTTTAAAGGTTAAGAAACTTTCTTTTGCGAACAAAGTTGTAAAATGAATTTATGAGTGGTGTCTAGATTTAGAAACTCGATTGGAGCAATGAGAAAGAAGCTCTCGAGGCTGTAGGTGACTTGGCTACAAGCCAGCACACTTTGTTTACTGCATTTGACACCTTCGATTGAGTTATCTTCGGGAAAGCACTGCATGGCTTCCATTGGCAATGTGAGTTTTCTCAGTGGTATCTGAAGCTTCCTGACTCCATCAGAAGGAAAGTTAAAAAGAGATTCCCAAGAGAAGGGCTTTTGTCTGTCACAGGTTTTCCATCCCATGTCACCGTAATTTCTTCCTACCTTTCTATCCTTCCTCAAGCCGTAGGCACAGCTGGCACAAGCGAGGACTGTTGATTAATCTTTGACATTGGTTTCTACATTAGCTTTTCTTCAGAAAAAAGTCTGGGGTGGAGGGAGGGCAGAGGAATGTGTGGGAAGCCATTGTCCTGCTTTGATTCAGAGGCTCAGTTCAGGACAGTGAGCCACCCAAAGTCACAGAGGCCCTTTAGCACAGCAGGGACCCAATGTTCTGGAGTCCAGAGCTGTTTCTGCCAGCCTCTGAGTCATTCTATAGTATAGAGTCACCCATATCTAGGGCTGGCAGTGAGGCACCTCAAAGGGTGGAGGAACTGGGGCTACAGACCAGATCTGACCAAAGACCAGCCTGCCTCCTCCCTCTTTTCCTTCCTTCCTTTGCTTTTAGTGAGGTGCTAAAGGATCAAGCCCAGGGCTTCCTGCATGCTAGGCAGCACTCTACCGCCTCACTACACGCCAGTCCCCAGTGTAGCTGTTGCTGGTTATATTTTAAGTTTTAATTACTATGCCTAAGGGATCCGTGGAACAAAACTGCCTCTGATCTGCAAGCTCCTTGCCTAAGGACAGACAGTTCCTGAAATACTGGAGGCTATTGTTTATGGGAGATAACAAGCCACATTTTTTCATTCCCCTAAACAAGTTTGTTTGACCCATCTGCACCAGATGTGCTTGGTGTGTTTGATCCCGTATGGGTGGGAAGTTCACAGAATGGAGGTACAACAGGATGTATGCCTGCCTCTGGTTGGACATCATGGGAAATGCAATGGATTATGGGTTTTTCTTCTTAAGTCACTGCAAACTGTAATTCTGGGCCTTTTCCCAAGAGCCTGGGTATGGACCCGGCCAGAGTCTATCAACCTGACCAGTATTTAATTTAAAAAAAAAAAAAAAAGAAAACCGTTGTGAGATGAAGCTAATACACTGTGATCCTGGGGAAACACTTTACAAACCACGAATAAGCTGTCTCTCCGGGGATGGCTACTATATGAGTTTTCTACTGTAGATTATCACAAAGGAATCTACTTTACACAACAATTATTGTTATTATCTCCTAGCAAGTAGGTCGGATGTTCAGGTGGGCTCTGCAAGGTTCATTGCTCAAGGGCTCCCAAGAACAAAGCCAGGCTTATCCGGAGGCTAAAAAGGCATCCACCTGAAAGTTCTCTCAAGGTGCTGACTGAGCTGAGGTCCTATAACTGATGAACTACAAACAGGCTTGCTTTTGTTTCTGTCCAGCTACTCTGTGCTTCTGATGGATGCTCTCAGGTCCTGCCCACAGCTCCTGCATCTCAACTGTGGAAACTTCAAGTCCCTCAAATCCAATCTGACTGATGCACCAAGACTCCCTGCTTACTCCGGCTGCCGCTGGACAAAAAGAAGCATCCATGATTGGGCTAGAGCACCCTCCTCCCAGCTCAACATTAACTGCTTAGTGACCTTAATGACAATTACCAACCTCCTGTCACTAAGTATCATCATATCCTCATGGGACCAGCACCAAAGAGCAGGGGTCAGGAGAGCCATCTCAGAATTCTGTCCTCCATGGGCACTGTGGATGTGTATGGAGACACACAAGACACAGTAGGGCCATGCCTTCTGTGGTGCCAGAGGCTGGATGAGAACTTCCAGGTGTCATATGGGCAGATGGTATATTCACAGGGAACCCAGAAACAAACCAGATGGTGACAAGATCCTGCCTCTGAATGTTTCTTGTTGGCGGCAGTGCAGAAAGTACCTCAGATGTTTATTGGGCACCCAAGGAGGCAACCCAAAGGTGGATCGCAGTGCACACAGGATTTCAGCACAGTCTGGAGGTAAAATGGACCTCTGCTCAAAGGACAGCCTGTCAGTCACCAGAGAGCATGTCTTTCCTATGCAGACAATGAACGTAGTTTTAAGGTTTTGCATAAACCAGCTTGTTAAAGATTACCAGCAGAATAAAAGCCAACATGCAGACTGTCTGCCAGCTGCTAGGCATTATGTTGCCTTTGTTATGATCATAGAAGCCTTGGTCCTGCACGGAAGGAGACCTTTTTATGGCTTTACTGAGGTATGATTCACACAGCATAAAACTCATCCACCTAAAGTCTACGATTTAGTGGCATTTGATACACTCAGAGCTTCGCAGCCATCACCATAATCAATTGCCCCTAGAAAGAAGTCCCATGTCACTCAGCATCATGGCTGAGTTCCTCCATTCTCCAGAGCTACTAATCAGCTTTCTGCCTCTGCATATTTACCTGTTCCAGACTTCTCCTATAAACTGTAACATGTAAGGCAGGGTCCTTATATCCAGCTTCCTTCATTCACTATGTTTGCCCGGTCCATTCATGTTTCACCATGTATCAGGACCTG